CCAAGGTTCATAGATCTTACATTCCAGGTTCCTATGCAGTATTTTTCTTTGCAGCATTGGACTTTCCTTTCACTTCCAGGCACGTCCACAGCTGAGCATCCTTTTGGCTTTGGCCCAACCACTTCATAGCTCTGGAGCTATTTGTACTTGTCTTCTGCTCTTCCTCAGTAGCATGTTGGACGCCTTCTGACCTGAGGGTCCTATCTTTCAGCATCATATATTTTAGCCTTTTGTTTCTGTCCATGGAGTTTTCTTGGCAAAGATACTGGAGTGGCTTGCCAGTTCCTGCTCCAGGTGGATAGCGTTTAGTCTGAACTCTCCACTATGACCTGTCTGTCTTGGATGTCCCTGCAAGGCATAGCCCGTAGCTCTTCTGAATTTCTCAAGCCCCTTCACCACAACAAGGCAGCAATTCATGAAGGGGATATACATTTAAGAGTACATTTAATGTGTATACAATTAATTGTGCCTAGCACCTTACAATCTGAGAGTAATCTCCACTGAACACAGTGAAATCACTTCTAAGTAAGTGTGCATGGCATTATACCACACACCTAGCTATGATGTCAATGTATATGTAACAAAGTATATGTAACAGTTAGAAAAATATTTTAAGTGAAGCAAAACTGCAAAAAAGCTCATCAGTAAACATTTAGCTGAGCATTTTCTTCCCAATTTTGTTTCTCTTCAGTAATCCCTGCCATATACACAGTCTAAATTAAGCCTCATTCCTAAAACTAATAGGTGAGATCTGAAACTGTTGCTCTCAGGCTGCAATTCTGGCACATTTACTTGAGAGTAAGTCCTACTAAGCTTATAGAATTGCTGTCTCAGATACATATGTGACATACTGTATGTCACATACGTATCTGAGAATGATCAGTTTATTCAATGGGAAATCTAGGATTGCTTCTTAATTACTGAAAAACAATGGGATATCTCATTTTAGTGTGACTGGATTAATTTACAGGTTGCACTATGAAAAAATATCCTGCAAAAGCAACAATCCTAAATCCCTCCATAGGCTCCATTGGTTCAAATAAGGATGATCTAATTGAGATTTACTACACTGAAGTAAGTTGCAACTAGACTATGCCTATGGAATGAATGAACGTATGGACGAGTTGACTCGCCAAATCCCCACTAATTCAATGAGTCTTCTCTAGTGCAAGTTATTATGCTAAACAACAGAATTTCAGCCACTAAGTAAGAGTAAATGATACCTAAATAAGTGCTTCTGAGAATATATGGACATAACTGAGATATACTACGGGATAGCATTCTTATATGCAAGTACAGAAGACATTATCCTGTATTTTATATGAAAAGCAAAAATAAAAAAGATACCATGCATAGGAACATAGACTGTAGAATTCAGACAGCTGCTCACCCATAATTCTGGTAACTCATCAAGCTCACTTTTATGGCATCTATCATGCTCTCAACAGCTAATGTTGATTTATTGCCACCTAATGAATCAATCTGTCTTTCTATCTTCCCTAAAAAAAAGAGAAAGACATGAATTAATTTAATAAGATCACTTTTCAACTTGCCAAGGCTATAAAAGTAGTTTATTGAGCCTCTTTCAGAACCCAGATGTCAATGGAATGATCAGTCTGGACAATAAAACATAGCTGTGTGGAAAGAGCATTGATAATGGAGGGTTTCAGAAGACCCAGTAGCTTCTGCAAGGACTGCAAAAAACTCTTCAGTAAACATGTACTTTGGCATTTTCTTCATTTTGTCCCCCTTCAGTGATCCCTGCCATACACTCAGTCTATATTAAGACTAATGCCTATGATTAATAGCTGAGATCAGAGAGGCTCAAGTACTGAGCTGAAAAATAACAGAATGAAATTTAACAGGGATAAGTGCAAAGTTCTACACCTACACCAGGGAAAAATGAAATGTACAGTTAGAAAAGAGTGGAAACATGGTTCAGTAATACTACAAGTCAGAAGATCTTGGAATTCTTATAGATCACAAGCTGAACAAGAGCCAACAATGCAACATGGCTGCAAAAAAGGCAAATGCTGTTTAGGAACTGGAAACTAATCTCTATGAAGAAAGACTGAAATAACTCAGCATGTTTAGCCTTGAGGGAATTGTCATAATGTGAAGGGACTCCTGACCAATCTGCTTGTTAACATGGAAGCAAGGTGATTGGTTGGGTGGTGCCTGTAGTCATCCTGAAGCCTGAAGGAGGAGGAAGCTGGAGAGATGGAATGTCATGAGAAAGAGAGTATAAATGAAGAAAAAAAGGTTGTTGTTGGGTAGTTGTAACTGAAAAAGAACGGAAGCTCAGATCTGTTCCCAAGTTGATGTTCCTATGTAATAAAAAATATATCATTTTCATTCATTAGCCAGCAGTCTGATATGGTTAATGACTACTGTCAAACATGTAACTGGAAAGTTATTTTAAAAAGTGACAAGCCTGGGTTGGGGCAGATCATGCATACACAAGAGGGCCATGATCTGTTTTCAATCATTCCAGAATACAGGGCCTGTAATAATGGGCTCAAGTTACAGGAGGCCAGATTTTGGCTGAATATCAGGAAAAACTTCTTAACTGATAAAGCAGTACAAGAATGCAAATGCAACCAGTTACCTTGGGAGGTGGTGAAAGCTCCAACGCTAAAGGCATTCAAGAGGAAAGTGGACAACCATCTGTCAGACATACCTTGATCTAGATTCCTACACTGACCAGAGGTTTGGATCTGATGGCCTTATAGGCCCCTTTCCAACTCCATTATTCTATGATTCTCAAGCCATGGCTACAGCAGGCCTGTTATAGCATTTCCAGTTATGGGAGAGGAAAACCTGAAGTGTTGGAACGATAATGAGTTAAATGTGGTAGCCAAGGTACACCGTTAAAAGCGAAGCTGGTCTCCTTCCCCAGACATACAATCTAATTCCAACCTAAGGAGCCAATAGAAAATGTTTAGAAGCATGGAACATGATGAAGATAGCAGCCCAGGGACACCTCTTTCTCATCTCTAATTCAAGTTATAGAATAAGAAGGTGTTGTAGCATTCCTAATAAAAATAGGATGAATTTAGGGGATGGTCACCTCTGAGACTCCCCAGAAGAAAGTATTGCGGAAGAATGAGCTGCCTATTATAATACTCATAATTATCTGTCATCATATTACCTTTTCGAAAAAGAAGTTCAGCCTCCAGCTCCAGGTCTCTTCTTGCTGATGCCATAGAAAGGTTCAGTGCTGTTTCCATGTGCTTGTGGGCTTGCAGCCATTGCAATTCATTCTGCGGTTTAGGCATGCAAGACAGTTCTAGTGCTAGCGTATGTCCTTGAAATCAAGTTTCAAGAAAACATTTCAAGAATTGTTTCATAATACAAATAATACTGTAAAAATAAGATACGTGTCCTTATACTTTTTTTAATTCATTCAGACAAAACAATTGAAGCAGAATTTAGGCAGAAATAAACTATTTTCTATACAAGGCAGTAAAAATCATGTACACAACTCTGGACAAACCACCCTGAGCAATGTATCCACTGTTCATTCATTCATTTCCCTCCAGCAAGTTCCAGGTGAAAAGAAGCTGACCTAATGCCCGGTAAATTATACCATACTGGGTGGATGGGTATAAATGCACATAAACACATGTGTACTGGAAATAGCCTATTACACTATCCTTAAACCCTAACATAATTGGCACTGAATGAAACTGTACTTGGAATTAACTGGAATTGACTATTTCATGGAATTCTTTCTTCCTTTGCTTAAATGGAATGGTTGTACAGTATTACATTTAGGCCCACCAGAATCATTGAATCTTCTTATTATTCCTTTCATCTTCTTATGACTGACACTGTCCTTTGGTTTTTCTTATTTTGCCAAATTTCTCCCTGGTTCAAAGGGGGAGCTAAGTGTGTGTGGAAGCAGATGCAAGTGAAGTTGCATCATGGATGGAGGAAAGGGAAAGTAAATAGATCAATATGCATTATGTCCATCCATTTCTGATACGGTACGTCATTCCACAGATTTACTAGATACTTTAACTTCAAACTGAATTGAACTGAAATATAAGTCTCATCTAGTTTTGGGGATCTTTGCTTCTAGGTTTTGGCTGAAAAAAATAAGATTTGTGTCTTTTGGGATATACGTAGACTACTTTAAAATAAATATTTTAGCATATTATTTAGACTGTTTATTTTCTTTTCTTTTTTTTATAGAGACATTCCTCAAAACATAATGAACAGAGAGACTACTGCAAAGCAGTGGTTCCCAACCTTACCCCAAATGTTCTTGGACTGAAACTCCCTTAAGCCAGCACCATTAGCTGTGCTGACCAGGATTTCTGAGAATTGTAGTCAAAGAAATCTGGGGACGCAAGATTGGGAACCACTGCTATAGAGCTGGGAAAACTTCACTCACCCTTCTCCATGATTAATGGCTATCACTGCAGAAACAACCTTGGCAAGGAACAGGCGTGTATCCTAAAACTTTTCTGAGAACTTGGAATTTTTTTTTATTTTATTTTTTTGTTTGTTTACACTACCAGAGTTCTAGCCAGGGAAACTCCTAGTGCATTCTTATAGCTGTAGTGGGGGGAAAATCTAAGAATCCTATACCCAGAAATCAAAGAATATAGATAAAATAATACTTCACATGTAAGTCATATTTCCTTACCGATTCTTATTTTTACTTTTGCCAACAGTCTGATATGTGGCAGATATATGTTTTTCAAAGGTTTGTTTAGAGTTGTCAGTGTGGGATCTTCTGCATGCTGTTCAACCGATTGTCCCAAAAGAAATAACTGTTGAAATGCGTAATTGAAAAATAAATATTAAACACTACACAAGACCTCCCCCTTCAATTTAAATCTTCCTGCGGTTATGTAAAATCATGTACAAGCAATATTAACAGACTTAGGGTAAACATGAGGTCTGCAAATATTTTTAAAAAATCACAAGGGGGTTCAGAACTAAAGCAGAAAATTAACGGGCTATGATACCATCATATTACCTGTTTAATTACCAGTGTGTGTGCAAGAAATAATAAGTTCAGCTGATCAGTCTTAGATGTGAGATGTTCTTCATCACCCTCTGCTTGTGTCCTCATTATATCAGCTAGCAGGAGCATACTTTGCACTAGTGTTAAAGAAGCTGGTGGAGAAATCAGAGTCTTTTCTTCAAGTAAGCTGATTATATCCTGTGTGAACAGAACAGAATAAAGTGACATATTTACAGTTAAAGTCTAGAGACTAATGCTTCTCAAACTCTGTTATCAGTTGCCCTTCTTCTCAACCTTCTGCTCTCCTCACAGCCTATCTTATTCATGTTTTACGGGTGGTAATGCAGTAATTCTTATATGAAGTGGAATACCTGCAAGGATCTATGGGCTGAATAAAGCAACACTGGAATTAGAAAATATAACTAGAAATCCACGGCTTGGGCCCTGGATACCTGAAGGACCGCCTCCTTCCATATGAGCCTACCCGGCAGTTAAGATCTAGCCAGGGGGCCCTTTTGAAAGAGCCGTCCCTTAAGGAGGTAAGAGGGATAGCTTGTAGACAAAGGGCCTTTTCGGCAGCTGCCCCCAGACTATGGAATGCCCCCCCGACTGAGATTTGTCTGGCGCCGATGCTGATGACATTTCGGCGCCAGGTCAAAACCTTCCTGTTCCAGAAGGCTTTTAACTGAAATAATATTAGCTGTGGGTCCGATGGCAATTTTATATATGTTTTAATTGTATTTTAATTGTTACATATTTTTTGTATTGTAAATGCTGTAAGCCACCCAGAGACCTTTGCTGATGACATTTCGGCGCCAGATCAAAAGCTTCCTGTTCCAGAAGGCTTTTAACTGAAATAATATTAGCTGTGGGTCCGATGGCAATTTTATATATGTTTTAATTGTATTTTAATTGTTACATATTTTTTGTATTGTAAATGCTGTAAGCCACCCAGAGAC